TTTATTCCCGACAAGTGTGTTTATCAGGTGTCCTTTGATGAATTCGCTTGTTTTTAACAAGAGTTTTAACGAAACTCGTTAACGGAAAGACTTCAATTCACAATATTAACGGAAGGAGCGCTTTTTCGAGTATCTATGCTGTTTGAAATGAGTTTAAACGAAAACTAGGGCACCTAATTAGTTAAAATCAGAAAAAGCACTTTCGCACTTTTTTTTTCGACTGCGAAGCACTTTCGCACTCATAATTTCCTTAGAGTTAACACTGATTCCAAATATAGATATAGATTTTATGCATAAGCCGAAATTAGGTTCACATTTTTTTCCTTTCAAACAAGGTCGGAAAATCTGCATCTTATCTGAGAATATATTTCTTGGGATTATGCGAAATTTAGAGTTTCAAATTGCAATACAGTAGTAGAACACAATTTCGGATATCACACACATTTTTCGTTGTTTATATAAATACAATAAAGTACGGTGAGTTATGGCTGATTCAAAATAGAATGATCACAAGATAATTAGGTAATACCATTTGTCGTCATTTAGTTACACGTTAGCCTCACACCGTGGGTCAATTCCACGAAAACCGTATCGACGTGAGAGGCCGCAACTTACGTTTAAACTTTACAACTCTTCAACTTATAATCCGACAAATACCTATATCCGATTATCAATATCGGTTTATGTTCGAGCGATTTATGCAATAACAAAACAGTACCAAAGACAAGCCCGTCACACAATACTTCTATATAGTGAAATCCTATTTCCGTAGGCATAAACAATACCATATAATACATGATATATAATTAGTTTTAGTCAGATAGGAATAGGATTTAAACACACTAAAAAGTGGTACAACATGGAGTCTTTGGATAATTTATAATAATAATTCGGTCCCAAAGCAAGCTCAAATCACCAGAGTTTATTCTGTTACCTTGTAATAGTATGAAACTGAGTCGATGATGACTAAGTCGCATGGATGAGAGTAGAGATTTCTGTTCAACATATCAAAGTTAAGCATTTTGTATGCTTGTTTTTGGTTTCGAAGGTTATGAAATTTGTGGGACTATTATAACTTCACCTCAAAGAGGCTAAATACACTGATATGTCATTGGTCTTGATTGTTATCAAAGTATAGATTCCAGATTTCATCATGACATAGGATTTTTGTTGATCTCATTTCGATTTTGCCTATAACGGGAATCGTACATTTCGTAAAGCGAAATAGGCGTATTAAGCATTATGCAAGCCTGAGAGTAGCAGACAGCAAATTTCTATTCCTTTTCATTATTGCATGTAAACGAAAATAATAAAATTTCTATTGATCGGATGCAGACATAAATTAGATTAAAATTGATTTACTAAATGTCTAACAGGAAATTGAAGTTGATTGCATTTCTTAAAAAGACATGACATACATTACTCTAAGAGTAATGGTAGGACTTTTCAATCCTTAAACACAGAAAACAAAACTCCTTTGTCCCAAAATGCCAAATTACCTAATCTTGCATAAAAAATAAATATAAGTTATCTTCTATTCATTTACGTAGATGGATAACGCATACCCATAACGCTACACTGGGCCCCGTTATTATTAAAAGATCTGATACTTGAGAGTTTAAATAACCATATAAATTGATCATCTTCAACGCATTTTACTACCTGTTCTACTATGTTGAACCAAAGCTGATATGATTTTTAAAAAATTTCTCGATTAATTGCTAAACCCAAACGGTAATCCCGTAGTGTGTGTTCCAGGTTAAGGTTAGGTCATAATTTTATTCAGATTTTCCTCATTTTGGTTCTATTACGAGTTCGGCGACTGTCTGTGTTAGCCAAGTGAATATACCCCTGTCAATAGGTCTCAGTCTCTTTACACAACTTGATGCAAAGTAGGCGAACAAAATTAGTTTCCCCCATATTGGTACACACACTTCTGGAGCGCCACCCAAACTGCTGTTCAGTGCTACCATGGTCTATAACAGTGAGTTATTATTAGTACCCATTTCAAATCAAAACAAAGTGTTCAAAATCCAATTGTATTATGATTACTGCTATACTCAATTGAATAACGCTACGCCTGGTAAAATTCAAAAGATCAATACAATGACGCTTCGCCAATCACGCGGTTAAATGACATTAGATTATTATTAATGGCGCGAAAATCTTCTCGATATTGAAAAAAGCTATTACTATTGTGGGACTGTCAAAACATTAGTACCTCGAGTACCTACTGGGTATTTTTACAAACAGTGTGTGGCCATGTTAGAGCCGATTCCATAAGAAAATACTTGAGAGCTATAGAGATGTTTATTTGGGTTTAAGGGCGTGATGATTCGATTGAACACAATAAAGAGCTAGATTTTGTTGTATATTTCGTATCCGATACATTAATCGATCCCCACCTATCGTATTTTCTTAACATTTGTCCAATTTAGCGCCACAATGTCTGGAAAGAACAGTTATTGTGGCGGATTTCTTATTATTATTGCTTACACCGTGACATTCAGTAAACATGGTAAAATAGTTGGTTTTGCATTTTGGGCAGTGACTTGGGATGAAAATACAAACACATTCCTAGCAATATAAATTTCCCGATGGGCATCTATTTCTACTTTTGAAAAGAAAAAGTAAAAAAAGAAATGAAAATGTTATGTAGTAATACTTGAGTAACATGTGAATTAGACCTCTAATATTCTTCGCAGATAATTTTTGATCTCCAGTATTTTTATGGACAGATACGTTCAATTTCTAATATAATATGTCAGTGTGGAATCTTTAAACAGCAAGTAGCAGCAAACAGAAACAGTATCTTTATTGCATGTTGAATGAGAAAAATAAATTATAAAAAACTAAATTTGAAAATGTCTCAATAGACGGGCAATTGATGTCAGCAGAGAAGCATACGGGGCTAGTTTGACAACCACGAAGCAGGACTAGTCCGTATTGGTATGTAGCGTCTGTTACCAGTGTTCCATATTAGTTAGTAACCAAATTTATGTGATACACAGGTTTAAATATACAGTAGTCCGAATTGATGATTCGTTTCTATACTTTCAATATGATGTGAAACAATGACAGCGTTACGTCAATCAACGTCAGTCGCGTGGGTCGCGTCGTTCATTGGTCGACAAAATTTGATAAAAGAAGACGAAATATGGATTTCATTAATTTGTTACATGATATGTTAATATATTTGATACTGATGATAAAAGTTCGTTCATAAAGAATCATACAGATTTGTAACAGTGCACGAATGGCTGTTACGGTAATTGTGTATTTAACTCGATTTGTATTGATACTTTGTGAGTATGTATTTACAACATATGCCAAGATATACAAATTATCCGAAAAGTAAGATGCAAACAGGTTTATGCCTTACTTGTTTCATATGTGCAAGCATGGCTTAAACGTTGAAGAGTAATGTACTTTAGTCAATTACGGAACACAAGTCGATGTTGACATATTAGATATTAGAACGCACTGTCCTCCCCACAGATAAACTAGACGTCTGTAGATTTATTCTCACGACTCACGAGTCTAGAATCCTGGAATGATCGTCCGAAATGTTTTAGGAATTTTCAACCAGATAAATATGCCAAAACATATATCTATTGCACCTGTTGCATACATATCCAGTCAAAATATTATTTAAAAAACAACGACGACGGAAGGCGAAAGAGCGAATTATAACAAGTTGATAAAACTAGTTCTAAACGAAAATTTAAAGTGGGAAACATCGCGTCATCAGTGGAAAATGAACTTCTAACCACAATTTAAAATGATGAAGACGATTAGTTAGTCAATCACGTGATCAATTTTTATCATTCTCGGACTATCCTGGAAAATGGTCAGCAGCATGGAAACGTATTAGATCTATCATAATTCGAGCCAAACAAAAAAAACGTTAATCAATCTCGCGCACCCCGATATGGTGTCGACAAAGAAATTATAGATATAATTAGTAATCCTTCAAATATATGAAAATCTTTGAAGATTATGAAGGCTTACTAATCAAAGATGGGAGATAGGTAAAGGGTACATAAAGCGCAGTGTATCTATCGCCCACGTTTGATCGAGAATGATATTTCATAACTTTATTTACAAAATATTTCTTTTTTTGCGCTCAATCGCACAATATCATATTCCATCATTATTAATACACAGAGTTCGGGCCAGTTCTGCTTCACACAGACAATGCTAATGAGAATATATGCATTTCAGCTGCGCCGCGCCGGAACCCAGGTCTTGGAAATATTGAATTTTGAAACAATACAACATTTTGCGGCTGCTTTTAAAACAGATGTTGGAGTAGTCGAGGAATTACATATACAAGATAAAAAAAATATGAAATCGAACGATAATCGAAAGTGTTTTAAGACTCTAAATATCAAGTAAATACTGATATATGCACAATTTCCTTTCATGCGATTTTTGGTTAAATTTCCTATATATATAGCACATACCGGTACCATGTTCTAATGTCGGACTGTAATAAGCTGAAGACATTGTTTAATTAACGTTTCAGTTACTGAAAGTATGACACACATATTGAACAGACAATGTCATCAATATACAGCTATTTGGTGGGAGGACTCGATCTCTTAAACAGGTAATATGATCTTTGTAACATTTGTCATTGCCTCTGGTATGTTGAAAGGGTAATCCATAACGCGACTGACAACTGGCGATTGACAGTTTATAGCCAATGAATCACACCGTCGCGACATATCAAGACGATTCTCGATTTTAGCGGCGAAAGAGACGTATAGAATTACGAAATACGCCAAGGATGTGAGGTTTCGAAGAAATCGATATATTCCACGTACAGTACATCGGTTCATTACACGCTTTAGTGTCATCTGGCGGATATTGTATGTCTTCCAGTCAAACCATCAAACAAAACAGGCACCCACTCAAAGCGAAGTTTCAGAAGTTGGACATGCAACACACGCGCACCACACAATCAGTATAAATACACTTATTGTCAACAAACAAACCTTCAGTGATTGTACTTCTTCAGTGTTGGGTGATTCAGTGGAATTAGTGTTGGACAGTGGTGATAAAGGAGCACCAGGTTCCTGTAAATATAACAGGACATACAGTACCGAATTTACAGATTTGAAGATAATAGTAAAGTCGGAGTCGGTGTTTGGCGTGTTTTGATTGGAGTTGTAGTCCTATTTTCAAATTTCTTGGGGTCGGGAATCGAAAATTCAGACTTCATGGTGTGAATGTAAGTCAAAACTTTATGAAAAAAAAAAATTAGTTTGCTATGTGTAACAGTCTATTGAAGAAAGCTCGCATAGGAATATTACTTCCCGGAAGCTGGAATCGAGAGCCGAATTCGGATTTTTCAAATCGGTGTCAGGATTAGGAGCCAAAATGTTGGAGTCGGATTTTCCCAGACACATTCATTTTGCCTTAAAAACGTAATTTTAAAATTTATCTCTACCTTTCGAACAACATTCCTTCGAGTGACGTAAAAATTTTATCTTAATTCCACATCAGTAAATAAAAACTGGGAATATCTAACGTTATATCCACTTACTGGAGATTCAGTGGAATTACTTGTGGCTTCGTCATTGGATTCTGCACCGGATTGTTTCTGTTCAATGATTTGACTCATGCTTTCTACTTTTTCTCTCAGTAATCTGAAATATACAAGAGCGAGGTTTTAGTGACTGAATCGTAGTTATACCTAAGTTTCTCGTAGACTTTCAATCCGATAAGAAATAATCGACATGGACTCTTGACATAAATTTTCTGGATTCAAGTCTCAAAGTATTCCAACAATCTAAATTCCGTGCAATTCGGTAGCGGGTGGATATTTTTGCCACTCACCCACGGAAAAAATTGTAGAGACGCTCAACGGATGAGATTAAAATTATGTCGCGGTTACACATAAGATTGTCTGCATCTTATCCAATTGCTAAACTTTATTTAATACATGTTGATGTTATGCCTGAAAGCAGAAATATTTCAGACCAGCATGGACCAATTTAATCAATGCAAATAATATTATTCCACTGATGCCTGACTTACACAATATTGCATCAAAAATGTAAAAAGACATGGAAGGATAGAAAAAGTTACGAAAAGATATTGATATATAGATGGTTCATATCTCCATTTGAAAGTTCTTAAAATTATTCCAACGAACAAGTGAACGACACAACTATCAAAACTTACTTAATTTCAGAGTCTTTCCCTTTCGCCGTCGCCATCAAATCCTTTATTTTGGCTTCCAAGGTTGACTTGTCATCAGGCTTAACGCGAGAAATTGACGCTGCTAAAGGAGGGTTTATGAAATCAAACAAAACGATTTAGCAATGAGCACTTAAAGCATTGCCATTAAATCAAGTGCTATCATATCATACAAATTATGGAATACATTCCTTCTTGTAATGCAGTCAAAATGCGGGCTGAGAAGGGGAACAACTAGGGAATTCAATGAAATAAATCCCAATAACTATAAGTGCATTCCTTTTGTTTCATTCATTTTTCGATAAAATGCAATACAACCTAATAGCAGAAGTGGCTTGAGCAAAAATTTCGAAACAATAATTTATTATAGATGTTTACATGCTATTCACTCTGAACAGTGTCATTTATATAAATCCGGTGATATGTGGGCGAAGTTTTAATTAATATTTATCAAAATTACCAGAATCCTTTCGCCTCTGAGAGGCCGCCGTACTTCTAGCGCTTGTCGTTGAAGATGAAGACGTTTTGGATACAGTGGATGACGCAGTGGACGGACGATTTTTATCACGTGATAAACGATCAACAGAAGATTTTTGCCCTTCTTTCGATGTTGCTGGGCGACGGGTGGAATTATATGACGACGACGGAGTGCCTGAAAACAATGATTCGAATAATTGATGACCCAAATACACTATAATGCAACTACTATACAGATATAAAACAAATCAATATTTAGAATGAGCTATATGAATTGAACTGACATAAAATCCATTTCGTGATTGAAAACTAAAACAATCCAACATAAAAAGTACTATTGGTAAGCAAGATAAAGAGTACCACCGATTAAAACTTTCAGACGATTTTTTAATCCTCCAACAAACCATCTAAAACAGTGGTTTCCAAACGTGGGGTTATTACTCCCAAAGGAGTAATTTGATAATTTTATGGGTTATGGGGTAATCCAGTCGTTCACTGTTTTAACAATTTATTTCATAATTCCGGTACTTTTGACTACTTTTGACTGCGGAAAAGCTGAAAATTCAATGATTGCATCTCAATGAGCCTAGTCACGCACTTCGATAACGATATGACTACTGTATTTTTATGAAAGGGATAATTGATTTTGGTAATTCGATTTAGGTTAGGGGTAACGATATTAAAAAGTTTGGGAACCAGTGATCTAGAATATTATTATTTTTTATCATTCTGCTTATATTCATGAAGAAATGCCACAAGTCGCAGCTCTGTTTCTTTGCCTATTGTATAGATATATCAGATAAGTAATCATAATGATGATGATCAGGAATGAACAGTAAGCAATATGTAAACCTTATGAAAAGTATGTACCGAATACATCAGATGTCGACTGTAATTACGACTAAAACTTGTGATATTGTTTCAAAAACAGAGAAAATTACCATCGCACCACAGAGGAATGTAAGACAATGTATACTCATTCACAATGAGATCTAGAGCTTGTTTTTATTTTACAGGAAAAATTCGCAAACTGAAAAATTTGGATATGGTTCGGCATACAATATGGGGGACCCCCAATGTGAATGAAAAAAAATTGGACAATCAAAATGATGCGAAGAGTACAGCTTACTTTCCGTAAAAAAACTTTCTATTTGAAAAGAAAAATAAATGTAATACATACATACAACTGCTTACTACTGACGAAAGCGTTATACCATATCAATTTGCGAGTGGCTCAGAATCGCTTATAAAAACATATGAACCTAATATAGATGTTGTGCAAAAAGATGTTAGCGAAACAGTCAAGAAATTAAAAATAGCCTCAATCAAAAAGTGTAATAGACGTTTATAAATATAACACATTGTTTTTATTGTATTTTACTTTTTGTTAATTCCTTATGCGACCAATCGTCTTTATGAAACCCGTAATTCGTCCAGGTGTTCTAGTTACAAACCCCTGTTCTCATAAAATATTGTTGGAGTGTCGTCTACCAAGCAAATGGATATTAATATCTTTGCCAAAATTTAACGATAAAAAAGAAAATTCAAATTCAGGTTAAATGCTTACCCCTCAGTCGCTTTGAAAAACACGATTTAAACATATTTCAACTCTTATTTAACAAAAAGTACTTTCTGTGACTACCACTCAGTTCACTCGAAATTTAACAACTTATACTTCTGTAACCTTGTGACTACAAGTCAGACAAATTGGGAGGCGATATTACAAATGCATTGATAAAAATGCCTTATCTATAGCTTGCACTGTTTACCAAATAACGTTTTATATTCCTAGCATTCAAACAAGAAAGATACGAATGGTATAATTATGATATTTCAGGAACGAACTACTCGACCATGAAGTGTTCCCTCTGGCTTTTGACACAATAACCCATTGGAACCATGGAAAAGAATATAATATGTAATTCAAAATAGGGAACCCGTAAAATCACGAACGAAAATTTTTGATCCAAATTCATCAATGTCAAATCTATATATGTTATTCATTAAATATGGTTTAATAGCAGGGAACAAAAATGTAAACGATTAGTAAGTATTCTGACTTAATTACAAGGTACGGAACGCATCATTGTCTAAATGTACAGATGGTTCTGGACAAATAAAAGTCGCAATGTAAATCTACTAATTACTATTTAATGCACAGAGGAGTGTCTCGTGCTTGAAAACTGCTTAAAAGCGTGCTGTACCTTATTAGGCCTGACCAACTTCAAATGTTCTAAAGCTATTTCTTATAGATATATCTATGAGCTTATAAATCAGCGTCTCCCGACTGGGGAGAAATTTATTTATTTTTCGGGAGGGGGGCGCGAAATTATTCAAGGTGGGTCGCGACGCATTTCCAAATGTTACATACAGATTTCGATTAGACGGGAAATTGTGGCGTTATCAATATTACCAATAACACTTATGAAACAATTTGAATTATTCGTTGTGTCTCGTTAATAATTTCAGTACACCCCTACATGTTGGAAAGTGTAGGTAGGCTACCAAGCAGATTAGTAATGTGTTGAATTCGGGTAGACAGTAGCAAAGACTTTATTTAGTTGTTAATCACATGTCCAATGAGTTGCATTTTGAATACTGGGTAAACCAGGGTTTAAATACTTTATTAGCTCCGAAAAGTTGTAGTGACAAATTATGACTCTCATTATATCAAATGTGGTGCACAATGTGTTGGGTGTAACTGCTACGTTGCGCGTCAGCTTGTCTCCTATAAAGACTGGACTTGATCTGATAATATCCAATATGCAAGCTTAATTTTTGCATTAATAGTAAATTGTATGCGGATACACCTTTTCTCATATATTAACATTTCATTGCGAGTCGCACAGAAATAATGGCAATAAAAATCGGTCGCGAACTGAAAATAGTTGAGAAGCGCTTCGCTAGATTATTTTTCTATTAAAACATCTATTCGTAAGTTTAATAATAACTCCATCAAATGGTGCATAAAATAGTGGTGCTACTGTTACATCATGTTGGAGTAGATTTTCCCCTGTTGGTGACCGAGAAATGGGGGAATGCTGTACTTTTACAATAATAGAAAAACGTACGACTGTTTTCTCATACAGTATACATGACAATACACTTACCTTGTCAATTAAATATCACCATGACACGTGGCAAACATGATCGCTGTTGGCCATATACGACAGCAAAAACGGTATTTATTTCTCTTTGGAAATTTGGTAACTATAACATTTAAAACATATTAAAAATATTAAGCTCCGATGAAAAATTATTGAAAAATAAAAACATAAGATAGATTTATTTGCGTTATTATGAATCATTTCACCGTGAATATCTGAAAAAATATATACCGGTATATACGATTTGTTTCATTATAATATATCCTCGAATATACTATCATACAACGAAATCAACGCTACCGCTAACAAAACGAATATTGCACTAAACTGAATTTTAAAGCTAAAATTTCAAACTTAAATCTATATAATGCCTGATAGGTTCTCACTTCCTACACCCAGCGATACACTTCACGTGTATTATAAACGCGTTTAGTACAAACAGTTCAATTTAATAGACCGTATCACTTGGAGAAGCAGTACCGGAGCAGTAGAGTACCGCAAATCTGGCCCACATTGGGTTATTAGCTATTTAACATTTCGTTTCAGCCGGAGACGAGCGAGCAAGCGATTCGAATAAATTTCTCCCTCATGGAGGCAAAATTATGCAAGCAGCATAAAGCCCAGTTTTTATTGCACACGAATTACCGGATGCCTGAATGACGAGCTAATCTAAAAGTAAAAGCAAAATTGCTCATTACATTATATGGAATGGATGCGACTAAGGGCACGAACTATCATCATGTATAATCGACTGAGCAAATTTTATATTTATAAATAGGATATTGGTATTAAGCAATAATCAGCGAAGAGTAAAAATCCAAAAGCTATATTCGACAAATCTTTTATCGCACACATAACAATGTTCCAAATTACCCTTGTTGATGATGAACGGGAGCAGAAATAGGTTTACGTTGATTGCGATTAAAGAACTTGAAGATTTAGGAAAGGTGTCAACTATTGCAGATAAAATATATTTATTTTATGTTACGAAGAAATCTGCTTTTTGAAGTAAAAACGATTGGTATACTGCCATCCATTATATTTGACGCACACATAAACAAAAAGAATATTTAGGTAACATCTTATTTATGTAATATGAAATCACCAATAACAATTTCTAATCTATTTGAATGCATTATCAAGAAAAATGTACAAATTAGTAATTACCATTTAATTTTAAACAAAAGAATTCGCTTATTATCACAAATCATTGTATAATGGCAGAGGAAACTTAGCTGTATATAGTTATGCCGTCGACCGTCAATAGTCACAACGCTGAAATTTGCGCAGGAATTTTTCTTGTCCGCAGAAATTAATTACGTTATGAATAATGCATCAGCACATCAAAGGGGGAATATATGTAAGGTGGCCACCGTGTAAACTATAAAAACAGATGAAATTTTGTATTCACCGCATAAATAAAACAAAAGGAAGGATATTCAAAAATTATTTAGGCAGCAAATAAATCGCGCTATTACATTCATCTAAGTATTTTTTAAGATGAAGTACTCTAAGCCTTAAGGTATATTGGAATTGCAGCTTGCTATAACCCTTTCTACTGGGCTCATTTGCAAAAATTTTGCAATCCATTGGTATTTATATGCAATGTAAAAATATAATAAGGCTATAAAAACGAATATTACAGACACGGTTTAGAAATATCTTCATGCTAATTTAACTATATATTAGTGATAACCTCGCCGTTTTAAAAATCCACCAATCGTTGGAGACAACAAAAAGAGCGAATCTCGATGTTAGCCGATCTAACCCAGACTCACCAACAAGCCGCGATCGCTGCATAAGCTATAGAACAAATTTTCCCAACCTCACTGTTATACAACGTAAATATACTGCAATTCCTAATATAACAATGTAAAACTATATCACTGAATAGGATTGCATTCAGCTTTTGAAACGCCGTAGTTGTCGCCTGTCGGATATTTGAATCAAAATAAACATTCTGAATACGAAAACAATCCCTATATACCAGCAGTCAAACCTCTTTGGTGCACATTTTGAGTAGCTACTACGTAACTACGCCTTGCATATTGACACAACGAGGCCGGTT